AGGAGACATGAATTGAAGAGTAAATTTGAGAACAGTCTGTATTATCGGAATAATATCGAACATAACGGGCAAAAAGTTTATTTTTGCCAGATTTGAATTCACCATAATCGTCATATCGTATATAATAGCTGTTATGTTCGCAACGAAATAGAATTACATTTAGAATAATATATGTGATTGTTTTTAATTATACTCACGTAACATATAATTCTCCAGACTCATATTCGAGTAGGTTATATACCCCACCCCGGTCACATTCTTACATTTGTCAATAAAATCGGCAATCATGTGCAAAATAAATAGCCTATATAATCTGTCGATAGCGTTGTTATTAGTCAAATGCATACACCGGCCGACAATTCCTAGAACAGGTCCACCCGTTTTTGATAACCCGAACGTGTATTGAAATCCTGCGGCAAAAAACTCTGAGGGATAGTATTGGGGCACAAATGGCCGATTGGTTGCATTGATTAATGCATTGGTTTCTGTCAATACTGACAATGGATTGAAAGACGAAATATTAAATAATTTATTCAAATCTGAATTGAATATTGTTTTGTCGGCCACTTGTTTAACCAAACCAAACGGATTCACCGAACCAGGTAGAACCTGGTCAAATTTATTCAAATTTTTATTTAATATTGTTTTGTTAGCATAAACAAACTGGCCTAAGTGCTCAACCAGTTACTTTGGCATGCTGTCGCGTTTGTAAACGTAATTATGATAATTATTATTAAATATGTAATAGAGTCAGAAACCCATAGATTAACACCTGGTTTACATTTGGTTTTGATTTTATAATTTAAGTTAATTTTATTAAAATTATGTTTTTAGTAAACATATGTTTTTATAACAAAATAGCAAACATTTTATTTAAGAATTAAATAATTAAAATTCATTACATATTTTAATTAAACAAATAATTAAAAGTCTATAAAAAAACTTATTACGTAATATAATTATATTTTCTATAGTAATGTATGAATATATTCACTAAACATTATTTAATTATTATTACATTTGATTTGATATTTTTATATTCAAACCATTTGTTTTATATCTGAATTGTGGTTAATAAAAGTTTTGTAATACAATTTTAATAACCTATATTTAGCTATGCTCAAACAAAAATCTAGCACACTTGCAGCTTAAACAATAGTAATGTAATTTTGCATCGACTTATATACTGATAAATGTGTGTTTTGTATACGTTAGTACATTTAGAACATTATGTACAATTTACATTAATGTAATTTTTATTTGAGTATTTATGTAGATATAATAAATGTTTAAATATAACTAAGTTACCAATGGAAACCTTACTACAATATAATAAAATACTTGTATAGCGTAAATATCATCTTAATCAATTATAAAATACTGATAATAACCTTGGACATATACACTAACTAAGCACTAATGGTTAGGGGCATTAATTGTTTAGAATGTTCGTACATTATGCAACAGTTACTGCTATATTGTATGCCACTTACAGTATATGCCATAAGTAATTCATTATTAAATATACCATGTGAATTCATTCCGGTGGCACATCATCATCCTATTAGTTTAACTAACATGTTTGATCAGTGATAAACACATACATTAAATACAATATGGGGAAAAGTATCATGTATATTTAAACATCATCAAGCTGATTTCAATGAGACTGGGGTACAAAAACAATACAATAAACACAGAATCGTAACGCTGTTTACGAACAGCGCTTATCAGTGTTTCTAACCATATGTTTATCACAACAACAAAATACACGATAAATATTTTTAGCCGACAATACATAAGACTTAACACAACTCTAACTATAAATTCAATTAACAAAAAAAAGTTTTAAAACTTTTTGCAACAAAACTATTACCGCCGAAGAAGTGGCCATTCATTACGAGAGAGTTGTCAACTGATCCCATAATCATCACCCAATCGGTTCCAGCGATGTTTCCATCCAACGTATGGCTGGGCCATCACGTGTGCGTAATGATCACCGGCGCCAGCCGTGGTCTCGGCCGACAACTCGCGCTCTCATTGGCCCAACACTTCGCCGACTATCACCGGCGACGAGTGGCCGACAGTCCGGCCACCGCTGACACCGACTATTCCCTATCATTCGTGTTGCTCTCGAGGGACGGACCGGCGCTGCAGACACTATCGCAAGAGTTGTCGGCCATCGATATCGACGGCCAGCGGATCCATACGGTGGACATCATATGCGGTTCACTCGACGATCACATGACTATTCAGTCGTTTGAGAGGACGTGTGAGACGATAGCGGCCGACACGGGCCGCGCCTACGACCAGCTGGTGATCGTACACAACGCCGGATCGCTGGGCGATGTCTGCCAATTGACCGCCGATTACGGGTCGGACAGCGGCGCGAAGATCGCCGCCTATTTGGCGCTCAATCTGACGAGTGTTATGCAAATGACGGGCATTTTCTTGAGACACTTCCGGGCCGTACAGCACAAGACGATTGTCAATATCACGTCGTTGGCAGCCGTGTCGGCCTTTAAAGGGCTGTCCCTCTACTGCATCGGTGTTGTGTGTTTTGTATACGTTAGTACATTTAGAACATTATGTACAATTTACATTAATGTAATTTTTATTTGAGTATTTATGTAGATATAATAAATGTTTAAATATAACTAAGTTACCAATGGAAACCTT